TTTCTTTCTTCAATACTTCTTTCTTTCTTTCTTTCTTTCTTTTTAAATAAAAAAAACAAGAATTTCTTTTTTCTTTTTTTATTCTTTCTTTTCCTTTCTATTTTTTCTTTTTTTTTTTTTTTCTTTCTTTCTTTCTTTCTTTCTTTCTTTTTATTTTTCTTTCTTTTTTTTTTCAAAAAACTTTTTTTCTTTTTTTTTTTCTTAAAAATTTGTTTCATTTTCTTCCTCTTTTTCTATTTTTCTTTACTTGTTTGCTTTCTTTTTCTGTCTGTCTTTCTCTTTTATTTCTTTTTTCATTCTCTTGCTTTATCTTTTTTCCTATCTTCATTTACAAACTAAAATTTAATTCAATGTAAAACAACATTTAATTTTTGTATGTCAAACATTCACAATGGAAATTTAAATTATAAAAATAGACAAGGCACTTTTCCCAGCTATTCTTTATTTCCTAATTTTTTTTTAAATAAAAAAATTTTTGATGTCTGCTGTTAATAGAGTGATGCCGCGGGCGTATCGAGTGACGTGTACAACATTGCAGAAATCTTCATCAGTTTTGCTTCTAATTGAGGAAGGAAACACGACCACAAGCGAGTAAAAGAAGGGAAAGAATCTGGATCCTGGAAGCGCGTGTTATTCCAATGAGCAGCAAAAGGAAGGTTCATTATCGGATACCCCGTGGATGAGAAGCAGGTGGCGAGTAATCAGCGATACACATACTGAGACGAACTTGAAGTTTGAAGCGAACCAAATCGGTTATTTTTAATTAAAGTCTTTTAAGAAGAAGCAGAAACTCAAAGCAGAAAATGGTAAAGATATATATATATATATATATATATATATAAATTGGCTCTTCTACAAGATGGTACGTGGAAAAGGATCGTGTATTTCATTGGAGATTGAAGTCACAAAAAAAAATCTATTTTAAAATGTGCATAATATTAGTTTTATGTAGTTCGGTTTTCCTCATCACCTATCGATGCTTTGACTTTTAAGGTGGGATAGCCATAGGGTCCAATTCTGAGTTATCTTACATCACAGTATAATTACGTAGTTAAATTGAGAAGAGTAAAGCGAACAAAAAAATTATTGACGCAACAATTATCTCGGTAAAAAAAAAGCATAATAAATACGGAAAATAAGGAAAAAGAAAAAAAAACGACCAACATATTTTGATTAAAAGTTGTTCGGATTAAAAGGTTTTGGTCAAATGTTGGCCGGATTAAAAGAATGCCGGACCATAGGACTTGTATCTGTAGAATGGATTGACAGAAACACAATCAAATAGTAAATGAGAATAAAAGATTTTTGTCGCTCAGCATATTCGCTGATTCCTTGAGTTTTTCCATTGATGTAAAATTTAATAAATTTTATTAAATTTTCCTGCATTTTTCTTATTGGGACTGTTAAGAAAATGTAGAAACTCTCCATACTTTTTATATTGTGTCGGGTCTTCTAAGAAGACACACAACCATTAAGTCATGTTGCACCTTTGTATCGTAGCATATTTTTAATACTACTTCTACATATTACACCTCATGTGTATTGTGTATAACATTTAATATCCTGGGTATGACGATAAATTAGTTCTTGAAGCAAGTCCTCTGATCGGGAGGTTTTAAAGATCGTGAAACGACCTCTTAATTGGTGTTGTTCCCAGGTTCACCCTGCCTCCGATTTGTAGCATCTGTTAAGGGACCCAACTATAGGCAAATAATGAAACTCCAAACTGGGATGAAAACACTATGACAGTACGAAGATGAATTTTTATACTAAAACTTTCCCGTAATTGATTTTACTAGCAAATAAAATAAATGATCAGAGCTCCCCATAAAATAAAAATCTTGTATTGACTGAACAATAAGGAGTTGATATGCCGTTAATCAAGCTACTCCAAAACAAATGAACATTTAAAAGAATTAAAATGGACTTCTTGGAATTGCCTAATGGACTGGCCGAAGGGAAATAACAGTTACGGTCAGATTTTGCATCTACTTAATCCCTTTAAAAGAAAACTGTAAGAATATTAGAGAATCATAATAAGAAAGAAGGAGAATCGTAAGATGAGTCTGAGAAACATATATATATATATATATATATATATATATATATATATATATATAGTAAGAATAAAAGATAAAGCTTAAATATAAAATAAACCGGAGGTTCAATGCATAAACCGACAGAGGTTAAGTATAAATGAGAAGATTATTTACATTATTTGGACTATTGTCCTCATCTTTGTCGTCATATCTATTACAACGTTTCGGCCGTTGTACGCTCTGGCCTTCTTCAGGTGGATGGTCGAACTGAAACCTTTTTTTCGCTCACTGTGGTAGACTGTTCTGGTTCCACCCCCATGTTTAATGGATGTGTTTATAAGTTATCGCTCATAAATTTCCCTCTGAAAGTTCTCCACTGCCTAACCGGGTAATGAATTCACACATTTTGGGTCCTGTCACTGGATCTAACTAACGCCTATATCCACTGTGTCATGTGTCCTTCATTTCGACATTCCAACCACCTGAAGAAGGCCGAAATGTTGTAGTAAATATGGCGACAAAGATGAGGACAATAATCTGAATAATGTAAATAATGTACATAATACCTCATCTCAGAAATATAGACAGATAATAAATAAAAGATTTTAAAATGAACCGGGAACCCAATCCTAAACCGGAAGCTATTCCCAATTGTCCACTATTGCAGGTGGTTTGTGTTCATAACGTTTTTCTACTCTTCCGAGTTTCGATACAGAGAAATAGCATCCAGTTTACAATACGCACAATATTATCGGGTCTCCGTTTGTACGCGCCGTTGCGCGAACATGGTGCATTCACTTATTATGACTCACACTTTGTTCTGCTTTTCCACGTGTTCGAAATTGCGAAGAATCTATGTAAGATATCAAAGTGTTGTCAATTCAATATTTCATATAGCTAGATTATTATTATCATTGCTACTACAAGACATTGCGTTTGTGTCTTTTCTATAAATACTTTAATGGTTATTGCTGGGATGAAATCTTTGATTTAATACCTAGAGTTTATGAATTTAAACGCATTACAAGACTGGCGTGAGACCTCATCAGTTTATAATAGAATTAGCTAGATGTAACCGTATGTTCTATGCTGTCTTTTTCTTCATTTTAGACTGGAATGGTGTCTTCTTTTTGATTCAATTAATCCCAATCAAGTCGATAATGCCACTAAAATGCAAGGGGTTACTGAGAGTGAAAGAAAATGAGAAGATTTTAGAGAGTAGAAAGAGAATCGTAAGATGAATCTGAGAACACACACACAGATATACGTATATATATATATATATATATATATTTATATATATATATATATATACAGAGAGAGAGAGAGAGAGAGAGAGAGAGAGAGAGAAAGAATAAAAAACAATGCTTAAAATACAAAATAAACCGAAGGTTCAATGCATAAAGCGACAGAGTTTAAATATAATATATGGATCATAATATCTATATTCAGATGTTTTGTTGATGTCACGTACTACATAGGGGCCGCTGAGGTGAATGGAAAAGGCGCTTCTACAACCATAAAATGAGTCTGAGCAACGGAAAATACAAAGGGTTCACCCTCTTTCTACCTACTATTAGACAGTCATTAACAACGGAAGAGAAACGCTATCTAGCACATGGAAATACTGGCTAAAGCTGTGCAGTATAACAGCGTTGGGGTAGGTTCCAATACAATTTCAATACTCACGTTTACTCCTCCACTTCTATTTCGCTATAAGTTTAGCGCTTATATATAAATAATAACACGTGTAGCAAAAATATGAAGAAGAATATATAATGTATACACTAAAATCCACATTATAACCAATAACGATTGCGGTTTTTCTCTTTTTTTTAAATATACATTTATCTCTCAAGGACATATGGCAAAGTGGATAAAGGCGTTAGTTAGATCCTGTGACAGGACCCAAAGAGTGTGAGTTCAATACCTGGTTAAGAGGGGAATTAACAGGAGATAACTGATAACTGACATCCATTAGACATGCCACATGGAACTAGAAGTGTCTACCCCAGTGAGGGTTAAGTTCTACATTCCAACCACGTGAAGAAGGCCGGAGCGTACAACGGCCGAAATGTTGTGATAAATGTGGCGACAAAGATGAGTACAATAGTCCGAATAATGTAAATAGTGTCATCTCAGAAATATAGACAGATACTGAAGGGCCGAAATGTTGTAATAAATATAGCGACAAAGATGAGGACAATAGTCCGAATAATGTAAATAGTGTACATAATACCTCATCTCAGAAATATAGACAGATACTGAAGGGCCGAAATGTTGTAATAAATATAGCGACAAAGATGAGGGCAATAGTCCGAATAATGTAAATAGTGTACATAATACCTCATCTCAGAAATATAGACAGATAATGAACGGCCGAAACGTTGTAATAAATATGGCAACAAAAATGAGGAAATAGTCCGGATAATGTAAATAGTGTACATAATACCTCATTTCAGAAATATAGACAGATATTGAAAGGCCAGAGCGTTGTAATAAATATGGCGACAAAGATGAGGACAATAGTCCGAATAATGTAAATAGTGTACATAATAACTCATCTCAGAAATATAGACAAACAATTTTCTCTGGTTGGAACAATTATGACCTTTCCCATATATATATATATATATATATATATATATATATATATATATATATAGATAGTGATTTCTTTTTCGTCTTTTAATGGTGATGTTATTAAACTTATCAGACGATATGAAAGGAATTTACTTAAAATAAATAGACAAAATTTGTCTATATTATTTAATGAAGCATGCATCAATGATATATATATATATATATATATATATATATATATATATATATAGATAGATAGATAGATAGATAGATTTCACCCAACGGTCAGCTCGAGTTTGCTTAACTTCGGTGATCATACGGGAACCGATGTTTCATCGTGATATGGCCCTAAGCACATTAAACCAGTCGCTGTCCAAGCTTACAGCACCAGGTAGTCCCAAGTGGTCACCCATCTAGGCACTTGACCAGTCTCGAGATTGCTTAACTTTGATGATCGTACGAGGACCGGTATTTCAATGTGATATGGCAACTAAGTCCCATTAAAATCGCAGTGCCGTTCTTGGCTAACAAGCGAGGCAAAGTCTTTGTACAATCTTGATTTTCTACAAACGTGTGGTACCAGACATGCTTTTGAAGTCTCCCCTGGGCGATTTTGGAAAATGACATTCTCTTTACAAGAAAACACTAATTCCATCTCAGTTTAAGAATGGATGCCGTAATGATGGAATTACGTTTCATGGAAGTTGGTAATAACTGAAGCGGTAACACATTCCCTGAACGTTTCACTTAGCCATTAACTTATCGGCTCTCACTGCCGGCACTTCCGGTTTTTAAGAAACAACTCAACCTCAGGTGCGCATGCGTGCACACGTGACTTGCGTTTTATAATAATGACTCAACGCCAATTCATTTACACTTATTCCACAAGTCTATGTGTATAGTACATTTTATGATATTGAATATATATATATATATATATATATGTATTATTGATGCATGTTTCAGTAAATAATATAGACAAATTTTGTCTATTTATTTTAAGTAAATTCCTTTCATATCGTCTGATAAGTTTAATAACATCACCATTAAAAGACGAAAGAAATATATATATATATATATATATATATATATATATATATATATATATATATATATATATATATATATATTAAAAGTCAAATAAATTCCATGGGTGTATAAGCCAATTGGGTCCTACTAATATAAAATATTAAAATTGATCCACATAAAGAGAGCTCGAAATATTTTATTTGTACAGAGCAATATGATGATCAATCAAATTTTTTATGACGTCTACGCGAATTTCATTGCATATCGGGGTTGGAAAGAAATAAGAATCACTTTTATCGTCTGCCAAAATAGCCTATTCACAACATGGGAATAACATTTTTGGGAGCATTATTCATATATGTGTGTGTGTGTGTGTGTGTGTGTGTTTGTGTGTGTGTGTGCGTATATGTGTGTGTGTCTGTCTCTGTGTCTGTGTGATTAATAATCAAAAATATATACATACGCAGATAGATAGATAGGTGTAAATATATATATATATATATATATATATATATATATATATATATATATATAAATATGGAACATGAAAATTGCAATTCAACGCAGGTGGCAGTCAACCTATCCTTCAACCTATCGTATAGTATACACTGCGTTGAATCAGATTTTTTAGGCTTCAACCAACAAAGCTGAGATAACGTCACAAAATCGGCTACTGTCCTTCTATTGAGACATAAGACAACCCAAATAGAATGAGACTTATCAATAATCCTTCATCTTAGTTGAACAGGATCCGTGGTTTCCTCTTGAAAATAATTAGAATCAATGCGTCCACAACATCTCTAGGGAAGGGTATTAGCAAGAGAAAGGTGTGAATCCTCTTCTTCTCCCTCCAGCTATGGGTAAATAGCAGGAGAGACTGGGTTCTATAGCCTTGGATGGCAACTGTTCTAGGAGAAAGAAAACTCTGAATTCAAAACCTGCGGAGGGTTGTTTGGGAACCTTGTGGCTCGTAGTGCACCATATCTCTGTAATCAGCTCTTCAAAAAGTGTGGATGGTCCTGCACGACACCTTCACCACTATAATCAAATCTAATGTGCTATACATGCGGGTTTGGGGACCGCATGTGAATTCCAAATTCCCATGAAAATCCAATATTGGAGCCGGCTCAACCCACCCCGGGTGAATGCCGTTACAGTTACAGAGGGTACCTCTAGGTAAATAGTTTGTATCTGTCTATGAAACCCAGGGCAAAAAATTGGATCTTGGAATAGTTTTCAAGTGCTATTTCATCAGTTTGTGCAAGTGATCTCGCATCTCGAATGTGAGGAAATTGTTCACTTCCATTTTATAATATTGTTCACTTCCATTTTATAATATTTATTTTGCATAACTCAAACAAATGGGAGAATTGGCGCAACGATTGAAAGGATGGTAGTTTCATTTGGCCCTTAGTTAGACTGAAGTACATGTCCTGCTCAGATTGTCATAATTCGATTTCTTTTTAGTTTGGGCTCCAGATAATAACCCAGATAATCGAGGACTGGTTGAATTTTCCCTTAGCAATTCACCCCAAGCAAGGCGATAATGTCACTAAGAAACAAAACGCTATAACACACAAAAATCGGTGAACTGGCGCCATGACTGAATTGTATTTTGATTTCGCATTTAGCTAGACTGAGGTATCGGTTGTCAGCTCATTAGATCAGTATCATCATTTTCTTTAACTTTTTAACTACCTCCACTCCTCGGCAATACTTACTGTTTTAAAAACGATGCTTAGTCCTTTCTTCTCGCTTTCCCTCGTTACCTTCTGTCATCAACTCATTAGAACAGGATCCCCACTTACTTTCTGAAAGACACTGTTGTTGCTCTCACAATATGACTTCC